ATTGACTATAGAAAAGATTCTAATACAATAGCGTCAGCTTTGCAATATGCTCTAAAGAATCGTGGGGACTAAGACGACTTACAAAGCATTTCACTGTACGGAAAATCGGTATCAATTGGGATGTGTTTGATTGGAGAATACAAACAAAACGAGTTATTAAGCTGCCTATGTTCATGGCACTTTGAATTTGATAAGGCAAAGTAATAAGGCAAATTGGTTTATTTTTTACAAAAGGGGCAACAATGTTCTAGTCCAAGGTAAACCCAATTATCGAAATGATGTTGGAAAACCTAAAAGCACCTGTAAGAAAAATTTTCCTGTTTCGTCAATGGCTCCTAAAAAGTTACTATTGGGAAAAGAGTTAAAGGGGTATAAAGGAACTATTAATAGTCTCCTTTCAAAACACTATGGAGAAAATTGAAGAAGCCTTCCTGAACTCGATTTTTACAATAAACACTTAAAAACAGATTTTACCTCACCAGAAGAAACCGCTGATGGTTTGGAAAATTGCCAACATGCAGAAAATGACTGTTTTTTGATTTGATTACCTAGATTTTTTTTGTTTAAACATTTTCTTTGTATGACTAAAAATGATAAAGTTTTATTTTCATGAATAAATCCCTTATGTTTTTATTGAAGTGAATACGGTTTGTTATTAATTTATATATTTATTTGCAAAACTGGTTGTTTGCAATATATATTATTTTTTGTTTAACTCTGTAAACATTTTAGGCTAGAAACTTCTAATTTCTATTGCTAAAAACTCTAAGCAACATTAATAAAAAATTTTACGTTGTGAGCTAAACACTACTCGGCCGTTAATTGTTTTTTTTCGATTTCCCAACAAATTACTTTCGAGCAAAGAGCAAGTTTTGCAAATAATGGCCTCAGTGTTTTGTGTTTGAGACAAAATATTACGGACATTGCTAAATAATTGCCAAATTATCTAGGTATAGTATATTTGTATAAAATAATTATCTCGATAAAATCTAGTAAGGTACGATCGGTGACGGTTGGTGTTAATTTTGTTTAGGGGAGCTCTCATTCGAGGATACAAAAAAATCAATAGGTACTTTTCACACCCTTTTTCATCACTTTTTTGTTAAAGTCAGACATTTCTTTGCAGTTGTCACTGCACTGCAGTGTCTACAGTTGTCATTATAAAAGAGTTGTTATCCACAATAAAAACAGCCAAAATTGAATACTTCGGTCACATCATGAGGAACAGCGAGAGATATGGGTTACTGCAATTAATTCTTCAAGGTAAAGTAGAAGAAAAACGAGGATCAGGATGGCGTAACTGGTGAGGTTCAACGAAACCCTTTCGCAGCAGCCTCCTACATGAGTGTGACAATGATGGTTAAAAAGATAAATATTTCCTTAAGTAGAATTTCATTTTATTAACGATATAACATAATATCTAAAAAATAAACTAGCTAAGGGTTATGTCAAATGTAAAATTTGGCATTTGATTTAATTGTGACAATGTTTTTCTTATAGCAAAGTTGTATTTTTGATATGAAGCAACAAAAGTATAAAAAAAGAGAGTTGAAGTACTCGATGTCTTTTTTACTAACTATAGCAAATAAGTTCATAATAAGTATTTTACTGTGTTTAATTTATAATTATAGATTTCACGCAAATCATATGCCCTTTCATTAAGGATTAAATCTTGAAATTTCGATTCGACAGGGTGCATTACTGTAACTGGCTATTAAATACGACGATCTTCAGAAATACTTTCACGTATTATATGATCATATGAGTCTACATTTTAAAATTATAGTTATCAACTAGGAAACTGAGTTCATTTAGCTGGCTGTATACCACGTATCACAAAATTTACCGAATTTTCGGTAGAGTTCGAATCCAATCCAATTTCATCCACATTGCAAACCCTTGGGTAAGAAAAAATATGTATCTTGTATTCGGTTTCTAAGTTACAGTGCAATCTGCTTAATTCGAACTTCTCTAATTCGAAATCTTCTGGAAAATTCGAAAATATTGATCTCCCTACTTTTGCTCTTTGATCCTTTCCCACTCCTGAGAAGAAATGTACATAGTCTTCGTCATAGTCATATTTTTTCGCTTCCATTTCCTTTTTTTCTTGGTCTCAGAGAGAATGACTATATTTCATTGTTGTTTTTGTCTACTGTAATTTCCGTCCAATAACTAAGGCTTATTGGGTTTCTTAGTAAGGTAGAATTTTTGCAAGTGTAAGGTCGCTGGCCTTACGACTTAATCCCCATCCTTGGTGGACCGAATTTTCTGTTGGGATTCATTCTCCTGGCCGATATGTTCCAGTTTTTAGGCGCCATAGACTCGCCTTTTACCCTCTTCGTCTGCTACATAACGCACTCCCATTGTACGCTATGCACCCAGGTTACGCGACATCGTGGAACTGAGAGTAGGATTTGCTGGCAGAGCTGAGTTTTATTCCTAAAACCTACAACTCATTCGTTGGAAAACAGTGGGCATTTCTTAGTTTTGTTACGACAAAAGCATCGGCAGCTTCATGTAGCCTCCAAGACCCCTTACCAGCCTTTAACCACCCAAAAAGTTTCATCTATTCTGTAAAAAATTTTATTTTATCCAACCGCTTGGGTGAACCGCATATATTGACTCAGGTGAAGCACCACGCAGTAACTTGTCATTTCGATTTTTTCGGGGAAAAATTAATAGCCTTCTGCTCCTCATTCCTAGAGCACCTGTTAGGGCGTGGCGACACTATAACTATTATCGTTGATTGAATAACCCAAATTTGGGTTATTCACTTGGGTTATTGACTTGCTGCCTCAAACTCACCATATGCGTAACGAATTGATCAGGAGCACTCATTGCTACATTTTAAGTTACAAGGAAACTACGCTAAACAATTTCTCGTTTTCCTTTTCTTTCTACGACTTGTTAAAATTTGCTCTGGACCAGACCAATCCAGTTTCATCCACATTGGAAACCCTTGGCTCAGCCTTCGCCTTCGTGCTGTTACCAGCAACGAGCTTGAGAAATTTGTCATGAAATTATGAGGCATTCATCAATGTCCGAGGGATATTCGGCGGATAATTTTTCGAAAAAAAAAATCATAACTCGACATAACGAAACATTTATTTATTAAAAGTACAGTTTTAAAATTTGTGACTCTAGGTTGTATTTCTGGAATTTTTTCTTTGATTAGCGCATTTATACTTTGAACATTCTCATTGCCGAAACGTGACATTTTGAAATCTATTTGGATGAAGTTGTCAAACCCGATCGTGTTGTCATAGGGATTGAAAATTGCACTGAATGCAATTATCAGTCTAATGTTGACATGCTTGGGTGAAATTGTTCCACATGACACAAAATGACGAAATTTGAATGGTTGTTAGAACAGTCGAAAAATTATCACTGCAATAAACATATCTATGCAAGTTAGTGGTTTATTTACATTTGATTGATAATTTTTCAACTGTTCTAACAACCATTCAAATTTCGTCATTTTGTGTCATGTGGAACAATTTCACCCAATCATGTCAACATTAGACTGATAATTGCATTCAGTGCAATTTTCAATCCCTATGACAACACGATCGAGATTGACAACTTCATCCAAATAAATTTCAAAATGTCACGTTTCGGCAATCTAATGTTAACTTAAATTTTAATAATTGTACTTTCACTAACTGTATTTTAATAAATAAATGTTTCGTTATGTTGAGTTATGATTTTTTTTTTCGAAAAATTATCCGCCGAATATCCCTCGGACATTGATGAATGCCTCATAATTTCATGACACATTTCTCAAGCTCGTTGCTTGGTAACAGCAACGAGCTTTCGATTGTCATGAAATTATCTCGTCTGTTATCAATGTCCTAGGGATATTACTACTGAAAATAGAATCATTATATACATATAATGTCTATATGTTAACATCATAATTATATTTTCATTATTTTGTTAAAATTTTATGTTTTTATATCTCGTCTACTTTTTCCAATTTTTTATAAGCTATAAAGAAAAAATCGGTGGCGACTATTTGGCAATTAGATTATCATTTGTTTCTTTGTCTTGTTCATTTAATATTTCTGGTTTAGCTCTAGTAAATATTATCTTGTATTCTATTCTTTTCTATCTCCCCAATTCTGCTTTAGTTTCTGTAGGTACTAGTGGAAATGTCTAAAGAAACACTCTTACATCTTGGCCGAGTATGAGCAGCGTGGCCTCGTCCATTTTGTGCACCTCAAACACCCTCCAACGTTATTTTGCTACACACTAGAATTAAAGAGGTAGTAGATCTCCTTCACGGTGGTCTGATCCAATTAAAAAATTCATAGGACTTTTCAAAGTCCGAAAGCCGAAATTCCGAAAGTTAAGATTAAAATAGAGTTGAATGGTCAATTACTGTCAATCAAACATCAATCATGACGTTACCATAATCTTTCATAGAATAACGGACTCAGGAGGAAGTTTCGTCGAAGAACATCGTATTACACTTCAGTTAGATGAATTCGTTGCTGACTAATGCTGTTACGTTTATTTAATAAATAAAACCGACAATTTAGAAGCTTATATACATAAGCAAACACAAGTTGTTATACTGTGTCAAGAATGAGAATAATACAAACAATACAAACTTTAAAATCCCTCATTGCTCTTTTCACCTTCTTTGTTAAAAAAAAAAAAATATTTCTCGATTTTCTAATTTCTTATAGAAACCTAAACTATTTGTTTTCTTATTAGTGTCACTAATTTTTTTTAATTCTTCCTGTAATATATTATTCTGTTTACAATATACATACATAAATAGCTATAAATAGCATTTTTTACAAGATACTTTGACTACGGTCTAGAGTACGTGAGCAGCATTAACTACTGAAAGTACTAAATCTAACGAAAGAACAAAAAACAAAATTAAAATTCCAACAGCGAACAACATTCTGAACACCCTGTAGAAACCGGTATATCTCCTTGACCCATAGATATGGCGAAGAAAGTCTCGCAGCCAATAAACTGACCAAGGAGGAAGGCAGCGCACTGCCTAAGAAGAAAGTAGTGTCTCAGTTGGTGTAGTTGTTGACGACTTCGTGTGCAGTGATATTGTTCGTCACAGTAGAATATGGCAATGACTCTCCGCAACTTTTTATCAATCTTTGTGATTTTCGTGCTGTGTTTCAGTGAGAAGACAGGTGAGTTGATATGTCAGGATTTGTGCGTTTTTAGTTTTATTCTACAAGTCTTTTCTAACGAAATGACAGTTTTTTTTTAATTCTTGGTAATTTAAAATACATAATTGATATTCCAATAAGTGTGTACTTGTTTCACCATTTGGCATTAGCTTCACTAGCCTATGGAAAAGGCAGATGATAAAATTGAGATTGTTTCATTTCTCCTCTTCCATAATTTCAGGATCAATTTCCGTCTATTCTTTTCTACGCAAAACATGCATAAGTATGCACAATAAGACAATTTAATAGCAGTATAGCCGGTTAATACAGATACCTTCATAACAAAAAAAATCTAACCAAACTCGAAAATAAGAAGAAAAAAAATTAGAGCGATTTGGCTGCACCTCAATAAAATATTACAGTTTTCTATTATTTCATTAAGCAACAAAAAATATTAGCGTGACTAATTAAAAAAATCTAGTTAAAATTAGTATTTAAAAATCATATGATGTAGATTACTTTAGTTTTTGGCTTGGTTCTGGTTGTACAAGGATGATAGTTTTCTAAGTATCTAGCAAATTTTTGAAAAACAAACCTACTGTTCATTTCGCAACTCTCTATCCGTATTGGCAATATGTGGAAAACTGTTGGTATCTTTTTAATACATTAATATTGGGTCTATATCGTAATAAATATTTTGTTCAACATGATGGAACAATGAGCAAAATTTTTATAGCCTCTATTTTCATCAATAGCCGTACAAGTTGAATACTTTTTATCTCTGCAACAGGATTAGATAAGACATTTTGTTGTTTGTGTTAACTCACTAAACATCATCCTGTCGAATAACTTCACATCCTAGCACCTTTTCCTCTTAGATATTCACTGTTTTACATCTGTACCATTTAAAATGTGACTGCTTTTCTTTTTCCCAGCTTAATCATCATTATTGTCTTTTGACAAATAGTATGATTTACTTATAACTACAATCTGTTTCACAGTTAAGTAAAGCGAAACGATTAGGATAAGACCATCTAAGAGTAGGTACTATTCATTTTATAAACATTTATTGAATTTGAACTTGCTGTTTCTTGCAGAAACTAGCCGGCCTTTTTAGGTCAGGTAAACAATTTAAAAGCATGACGAAAAACGATTTTTAAGTCAGTTTAAATACTAGACTGGCTACTTAAATTATGTAAATGCCTACTCATACACCATATAGGAGTATGCATATAACAAAAAAAAAAATAGTAAAATTTATATACAAAAAATTATTTACTCCTGTAATCCAATGCCTTGTAAAAGTTCACATGTTTAGTATATATTTTCCTTTAACGCTCGACACCAGCACTGTCACTTGATCCATCTTTGGTAACATTTGGACGTGGAATACAGAATGTTGCAGCTACGCAGGGTAGTTAATCATCATCATCATTCTGGATTTACAACCCTGCGTGGGTCCTAGCCTGCTCAAGAATTTCTCTCCAGTCGTCCCTATCTATCGCCTTTCTCCGCCAAGCACGTATTTCCATATTCCTCATGTCTTCATCGATGTTATCAAGGAACCTTGTGCCGGGTCTTCCTCTTCTTCTCTGACCAATGGGTCTATCAAGGAGCGTTTTTCTAGCTGGGTCATTTTGTTCCATCCGCATTACATGTCCTATCCACCTCAGACGTTCTATCTTAATATGTTTTACAATATCAGGTTCCTGGTATATTCCATAAAGTTCGAAGTTGTATCGTCTTCTACGCACTCCATTGTCATTCACAGCTCCATAGATTCACCTTAGCACTTTTCTTTCGAAACATCCTAACATGTTTTCATTATTTTTTGTTAGAGTCCAGGTCTCTAAACCATATGTTAGGCCTGGACGTATTATTGTTTTGTAGAGTTTTATTTTTTATTTCTCGATATAATTATGTATTTAAGGAGGAGATTGAGCCCAAAATAGCATCTGTTTGCCGTGCAAATTCTGCGGTTTATCTCTGCGGTAGTATTATTTTTAGTGTTGAGGAGTGCTCCCAGGTATACAAATTCGTTCACTGCTTCAATGACGTCGTTTTCTATAACGAGTGGTCGTAGGATTTGTGGTTGCGTGCTTATTTTGATATACTTCGTTTTGTTGGTATTTATTATGAAACCCATTTTTGTAGCTGGTTCTTTTAATGCTACATACGCCTCTCGTACAGCGCTTTCCTTTCTCCCAACAATATCGATATCATCAGCATAGGCCAGGATTTGCATTGATAGTGGAAAAAAAAGTATAAGAAAAAGAAAAACTTTGGTTGAAGGAATCCTGAGGCAATGAATTGCAAGCAGATTTTCTTCCAATCATTTCTTCCAATCATAATAAGCTGATTTTGATTTTGACGGAAACACAAGATCCGCTTCATCAATAAAATATTATTTTTCACCAGCATGCAATGTAATATGTCTCTTTAGCTGAGTATTGGTATGGTTGGGGGATTTTATACTTTCGTCCTGCCAAATCCGTTTTAGACTATTCTTCAGTACAACTTTTTCTTGGGCCTTCCTTTTCTATGCTCTCCATGTTTTCACATCACGATGTGCATCCTTTCCTCTGTTATATCGTGGACATAGCCATACCATATTAATAAGGTTTTAATATTGTCTATTATTGTATATCTGACTGCAACAAATTCACTTAACACTTTATAATTTCACTTTTTTTATCTGAATCTTTCTGGATCTTCTTGTCTTGTATACGAGCATTTGATATATTTAGTCCCAAAAATTTGTAATTTATACATTGTAATATGTATACGTTGGCTAATTAAAAAACAATAAAGATTAGTTTGATACCGAAAGCAAAAAGGAAATTAAAACAAAACAGACCTGCAGATAAAAGAAACGAGAATATTGAAAAATACGGAAAGGAACGCTGATAGGTGACTTACCATGAAAACTAGAGGGGTGGACAGAATACTTGAGAAAACGGGATCACATCAGAACTATTTAAAGAAGATGGACAGCTATTACTCAAACGACCGATAAAACGAATTTGAAAAAATGAGAAATTGCCACAAGGCTGGAAAAATACATCCATATCTACAAAAAGCGAGATAAAAACCATAGATATATAATACAATATAGACTGACTGCTGCAATATAGTCACGTTCCATCAGTGCGACAGGAAAAACTGACGTAAAGCAGTCCCTGCATCGCTGTCTAATCGGCCGGGTGTATCGACCACGTAACCTTTTTACTGGTCATTTAGATCACGTGGTCGATACACTCGGTCCATTAGAAAGATATGCAGGGACTGCTTTGCAACAGTATTGTCTGTCGCACTGGGAAACGGGCTGGTATTGCAACGATCGGTCTATCTGGTATTATGTCTATGTAAAAACTTATGCCAAAATATAGAAAAATTGTAGCATATAAGATTCTGGCTTTGTTAATAAGAAACCGACTAAAGAGTATGAATCTGATGAAATAGATGAATATCAGGGAGGGTTTATAAGAGGCAGATGTACAATTGATCAGATTTTTACGATAAAACAAATATTGTACAACATCAACAAACACAACCTAGCATTTTGTTTATAGACTTTTAGCAGACATATGACTCAATCGACAGAGAAAAACTATACGAAGCGATGGATCTGTTAAAAATAACTACTAAACTTATGTTAACATAACTGTTAACATTATCAGTTAACAGTTACCGCGGTGCTGACGTATCATCAGATCATGTTTCTGTTGTTGGTATAATTATGTTTAGATTCAAGAAGGTCACAAAAAAGAATAGTAACAAAAAGTGCGATATGAGAAGACTAAAAGATAACAAAACAAAAGAAACAGTCGCACAGATTCTTTCAGAAAAGCTAAGTTATATGGAGCAAACATATAATGCCGAAGAATCACTCCAAAATATATGTGAAACCTTTAACAAGATCAGAGAAGAACATCTAATAGAAAAGAAAGATAAGAAAAAAAGTTGGATGAATGATAATATACTCCAACTTATGGAAGACAGAAGAAAATCAAAGAACAACAAAATAACGTACAACAAGATTCAGAGACAAATAAGAACCGAAATACGAAAGGCCAAAGAAAATTGGCTAAAATCACAGTGTGAAGAGATAGAGCTGTTAGAACAAAAATATGATACGTTTAACATGCATAAAAAGGTGAAACAAGTAGCTGGTCTTCAGAAATCCAACACACCTAACAAACTGCGAGACCAACAGGGGAATATCATCACAGACAAAAATCAAGAAATCCGCATATGGACAAAATACACACATAAACTCTTTGATGACACTAGATCTGAACCTTCATTCTACATATGTGATGACCACTTACCAATCACATCAGATGAAGTGCAAAAAGCCATATTACAACTAAAAGTTGGCAAAGCTCCTAGACCTGATAATGCATATGCTGAGCTCATAAAACTATTTAACACCGACGGTATTCAACACCTAACAAAAGTATTTAATGACATATATTTAAGCGGAGTAATACCAAGAACATGGCTGAAGTCGACCTTTATTGCTTTACCAAAGAAAACAAAGTCCGTATCCTGCAGTGATTTCCGAACCATCAGCTTAATGAGTTGCAGTGTGTACGAGAGAGGCTCTCTTTAGTACACAAGTGCTATTTTAACGATGTAGAGACGTGAACTGCGACATTTATGCGTGCTTCATTGACTACCATAAAGCGTTCGATACAGTAAAGCACAACAAGCTGATGGAGTCAAACATCATCTATCCGGACAGAGGCAGGAGAATCCGACGATATCAAAATCAAACGTGGCGTCCGTCAGGGATGTATACTATCACCACTGCTGTTTAACATATACTCTGAGGAAATCTTTCAAGAAGCAGTGGGTGATGTTGAAGCCGGAATTCGAATCAACGGAGAATCTATCAATAACATTAGATACGCGGACGACACGGTAGTATTCGCTGACAGCTCTGGAAACCCTCCAGGAGTTAATGAACAGAATCACAGAGGTCAGTAAGAGATGCGGACTTTCACTAAACACTAAGA